CGGGAATCGAACCCGAGACCCCTTGCCCTTCAGTCGCAGTCGCGACCACTCGGCCAACGAGGCAGTATTAATTAAAATATATACGAAATATACTTTACGACTGATGCGTCGACTTGCAATTCTAACCCTAAGTAAAGAGCAGTTAGGACTCACGTTTACTCCTTCCATAATGCTGTTCCTATGGTCATTACATAATTCTATCCGGTAGCAACCATTCAATCGTATATGCTCACCATAATATGACCGTGCTTGCTTTAATTGGTATGTGCCACAGGCAATCGATATTAAGTCATTATTAATTTATCATTATCATTATTGATTTTCATATTTTGATTAACTATTTCTAGTATTTGAGCAGCATCATCCCTGTCCCTTATTTTTGTGTGGAATTTATTAATAAGTGCAGCAGCCACAGAAAAGTCTATCATCACATGTTTAGAAGCCCTGTTAAAATAATTTTGTCGAAATTTTTTAAATGCAGTTTTAAAAATCTCTAATACTACCCATCGACACATAGTCACGGTTCTGGACTTGAAGACAAAGGTACATAGACTTGATAGCCACAATCTTCTAAAATTCATTATTTATGATATCCGCATCCGAGGTTGTTGCAGGATAAGGGCCCTAGGATATCTATTATATAACCATCACAACAAACAAAAAGGAAAGGCTTTATAAGGTTGCGATATTTGTGTAATGAGTAAGTTTTTTTCTGGTATAAATAATTGGAACTTTTTTCTATATCTATATATAGGTACCATCGGCAATGGGGTAGACGACTAATTTTTATTTTAATGTCCGTCTGGTAGATTATTTAAAAACATTAGACACGTATTTTTTATTTTCTTACGGAAACTAATAGTTTCGAAGATATATTGATTTGAAATGTCGCGTGACGTCACTTCTCAGTACATTTTATACTAAGAAATGACGTTTTAGCCCCCACTCCTAAACTTTGATTCGTTTTATCTAAGTATTGTTTTATTATACAACAAAATAAAAAAATACGTGTCTAATATTTTTTTATTACCTAAGTTACGGACTAATTATATTTTTAATTTTCATACCCTGTCATCATCCCCATTATAATTGACTTCCTATCTTCTCCCCCATACAGTCCATTTGGAATAAGGAGATTTCTTTGAGCTATTTCTGCTCGGGATATATGATTTATGCCTACATGTCTGGGAACAAAATCCGTATTTAATATGTCGCGGGCCATATTCATGAACCGCACTAATGTGCTTCTTGGCACTTGCAATAATGCCGACATGCGTTCGTCACTATCTTCTGTTCTTAACTTCATCAAATATGCAGCAAGTGCAAAAGAACCCCTATGTTTTCTCGACAGTGTCGGAACTTCAGACAGAATTTGTTGGAAGTGTGCCTTTGTTAAGCCTAGATAATAATGAACAGTATGCTCTGGCATACTCTGAACATTCAAAGTCTATATGATTGTTGCATATTATCTTTTAATAATGTACCTGTTGTGATCGAATCCATTGTTGTATAAGATTTCGAACCTCAGCAATTTCCAACAAATGTCTTCGTAATCTCGTGGCATTTAAACCACAATTGACACAGCATAAATGTCCTCTTGAATGAGTTACTGAGGGTTGGGAAGAACCCTGGCAGGTGTGTAAGCTGTGGTCATCATTATCAGTGGAATCCAAGTTCGTGCTGGGGTTATCATGAGAAGCGGGAGCGGGATCCATGTTCAGGCCGTAGTCAGTAGGGTAAGAAGAATCGTCGGAGTCCATTTCAAAAGCTTAATTGTTATTAATATAACAAATCCGTAACAAAACAAACAAAATATCACGAAGCAAACGAAGTCTACTTGTAAAGTGTTTGTGACTTTGACACTGACAGCAACCGCCTTCGCCAACCACTGTAGATTCGATGTTGCCAGTTAAGCGAAATAAAATCAATTTTTTTGTTTCGAATGTTAATTCAACAGTTTTTTTATAGTTTTTTATGTCTGTTTTTGATGTATTTTTAAGAACAGATGATATAAGAATGACAGTTAAATTGTGCAGTACCGTTAACGATAAGATGTAATGAATCCATGGTAAATAGACTAGCAATACACAAAAATCGATTGGAAAAAAGAGAATCGATTATACTTTAAACTATAATTGGTCATTGGCAACACTTTTTATTTTATTGACAAAGGTAGGGATTTACGGATTACGTAATTTTGTTTTTATCTTTTCGGTACTTCCTTTTTAGGGAAAAATGATGCAATCTTGTTTAGATAAATGAATACCGCGATGCATAAACATAAAAATACATGTTTCTTTTAACATAAGCAAATTATTGGGCGTTTCATGGCCAAAACTGGGCATCCCCCTTTTGTCCTTATGTTTATCATAGACTTCCTCTGACTTAAATAGACATGGAATCAAATATTAGGGCAACATTATCAAGAAAATTTCAAATATTTAAAAACCTTGACCCTAAATTCAACATTACATTCGTGACTGGCTAACATTTTGCGTAAGGTTGCAGGATGTGGTAACATAGTATGGTTTGTTAGAAATATATTCATATACTTTAGAAGAATAAAAATACAACGATAAAGCAAACTGTTTAAACTCCTTCGAATATCGTAAACCATTATTACTTTTATCTGTATTTATTTGTTTATGTATTTCTACATAATTATTTTTCACCATACAACAAAAAAAATATTATGAGGTTCATAATAATTTGTTCATCTTTTCTTTAAAATTGCCAAAACTGACTTTAAATTGTCAAAACGAATATCACACCGCTTTAATTTCTGTGATAACACTTTTACTTTGCGCTTGAGCATAGTTTCTGAAGGACAGCTACGATTGATTTCAGTGTGGACTGCTGCTTCGTTTTTTGGCAAGAGATGTGTATTCTTTAAAAACGCACAAATCTTTTGAGGTACTTGGAATACATTGTCCAGCAGGTTGCAGCGTATTGACCTTATGACAATGTTAGTGATAACATTTATCTGTTTACTCGGCGTCTGCAAAGGAAATATTAAATTTAACTACCGAAATATTTCTTTTATATACATACAGTCCGCGCGCGAGCTCCGAGGAATGTTAAGGAATGTTGACGTAATGAGCTAGAGTTGTGAATTAGTCGATATTGTGCTATCGATACTAACACATCTTAAGTCTCCGCGCGAGTGTAAATTAAGAAATAATTCTATGAGGGTAATATGTATTTGAAATAAAATAAAACAATTGTATCACGTATGTATTTAATTTAATGAACTGATACTTAATGAACAAATAGAACGTAAAATCCAATTAATCACTGTCGAAATCAGAATTATCAGTACTTGAAGAATTTGATGTACTATCGTCACTCTCCTCACGTACTTCAATAATAAATGAGTCGACAACATCCTCCATTAAGCCATCCTTTTTCCAGTAATGTTCCTCTAATGCTAAGACATGTTTATCATATCCACACCAATCTGCTGTTGTGACTTGCGTGATAGCATTTTCGGTAACCTCCTTCAGTCTCACCAGAGAAAAATCAGAAGTAATGTTATGTTCCCTCACGAGCCTTTTAACTTTTGCCCATGCGAGCTCTATTGGGTTCAAGTCGCACATATAAGGCGGTAATCGCAGTACATCGTGACCATGGCCTTTTATGAGTTCGTCCATTTTAAATGTTTTTTCTGGAGTCCTGTTTTGCTGAATTAAATCATATAATTCAACTTTCCTCATACTGAAACTGGCCTGTACTTTATTTTTGGTTAGCCAATCTAACATAACTTGTTTTGTACTAGATTTTGTGGGCACCTTATTTTCTTGCACGCTATGATAGGGGGCATTGTCCATCACTACAACGCTGTTTGAAGGGAGGTTCGGTAATAACATTTCGTTAGCCCATTTTTCAAAGTTTACATTATTCATCTGCCCATGATAGTCGCCGGTGACTGTGCCAGCTTTAAAAAGCAGTTTGGCTCCGTCTAAAAAGCCGCTTCTCGATCCCGCATGGACTAAAATCAATCTGTTCGAAGAGCTCGTATCAGTCAATATTGCGTTTATTTTATCGTCTCGCCAACATTTTTTATACGTTAAATTGTTATCAATCCATGTTTCGTCTAAGAAAAATATTTGGCGATCATTTTGTCTAAATTGACGTATTTTTCTTAAATAAATAGATCGAGCATATATAATATTTGGCCTCTCTATCAAAATTCTCCTTTTGCTATGACATTTCTGCCACTTATACCCCATTTGTTTCAACAACTTTCTCAGGCTAGTTACACCCCAAGGAAAATCAATTTTCTCCCGTAAAGCCAACAAAAGTTTTTTGCAAGTTGGGACGACCTTTTTGGTCAAATAAAACTCTTCAATGCAACGATGAATTACTTGACGATCAAAATCATCAACATTTAAATCTTTGACTCTCGGATACTTCTTCCCTTTTTTAGATGGCGATTTCAAATGTCCTTGCTGGTCTGTAGGCTCTTTCTTGATTTTACTTAACACACTTTTAGACAGACCTGTGTAATATACTGCTCGATCAAGTGCCTGATTAACAGTAAACGTGAAATGGTTAGATCTTTTTTCTTCTTCACACATCGAAAGAACGTGTTTCGCCATTTCGCGGGCTTGCCTTCGAATAATAAACGATTTTTTTCTCTGCCTGTTGTCACTGCTCGTGCTCGCCATTCCTTTTTTTACCAAATTAAATTGCGCTCACAAAAAAAACTCACTAGTACTACTTATAGTTCAACGAAAGTACAACTGTTATCGCAAAATTAAAAACAACGATTCGACAAGCGTGCTCTCGCGTCAAGGTCGACACTAGACTGGGATAGTGCGGGGTATGAAGCGACGGTCGGGCGCGGCGCACACCCGCCCGCTTCCGCAGCCCCCGATTCCTCGGAGCTCGCGCGCGGACTGTACATATTTCTTTCATAATTTATAATTATTTTTTTGTTCACGGATATGTAAGATCTTCTTTTGTAGTAAATCATGACTTAACATATTTGATACCATTACGTATTATCGTCAGGCTTTATCCTAACTTATTGACACCCTACAATGTATCAATCGATTAATTATTTAATGAAAAGAAATAAATAAAAACAATATCAATTTAACGCTCAGGTATTTAATTCTTAAGTCATTGTCTTCCTTGTTATTGTCCTGTAGCTTCTTTATCGATTCTGTTAATGTGTCACTATGTATACTAAGAGTACTGATCAAAAATAAAAACTGCAATCAACAAAATGACTTAAAAAAAAAAACAAAAAGTCAAAACTAAAACGAAAAAAATTACTATTATTAGTATTGATAGGTTACCTACCCACTGATAAGTTAAAAGTCGACGCCATAAGTTCTATACAAAATTATTCATTAATTTACAATTTTGTGCCCATTAAGTTATATCATTACGATGCGAGCTTATGGCACCGACTTCTACCCTATCAGTGGTTATCCTATCTCTATATCCTCCAGACCCTTATCAAATAGTAGTGTTAAAAACTCTTAATTGAATAACATAATAGATATAATAGCATTACTCGCCCCTGCAATTTTCGAAAGTTCCCCTCGGTTTCTCTTGGATACTATCATAAGATCCTGACCTCATGGAAATGTGACCATCTCGGGAGTTATATACCTTACAAACATAACAAGAATTTTGGAAATCGTAAGAAATTGTTTTAATAAAATTTAATCTCTGAGACGCCTGACACTGTTTACTTTTAGCTAATTTATCAATATCTGCTGCTATATTAGTCGTTGCAATTCTCGTACTGTTTGCAAGGTGAACATCGGTGATTCTATTCTTGGCTTAGGCCTTACGTTCTTCATTCGAGAAAATACCTAATTGTTCGCTAAGATGCGAGGTACCAAACAGAGGTGTTATTTTCAGTGTATGATCTCTTAATTTACGAAAGCCTGAAAGGATGTATTTTGAGTAAAACTCGATCAACCCTAAATTGACTTTGTCTTTTAAAGTAATATTGCACTGTAATTCTATCATTTCCAAATGAACTTCTTCGGGGGCATCTTCAACAGAAACATTGAATGGGCGAGCAAACAAATTCATGTTTATTTAATTTTTCCGGAAATCACTAAGACGTGAGTCGACTTGTGTTTTCAAATCCTGCAGCGCGGTAATAATATTTGTCCATGTTTGAAGTTTGGCAAGACGACAAATTTGAAAAGTGTGTGGTAAGGTTTTCTTTTTAAATTGTTTGATCCACAAGTCCAACTTCACAACAAACGCAAGCGTCAAATAGCTCGTGAACCAAATTATCTTTTCCTTGCAATTACTTATTTAAATCATTGAGTTGTAATGTTATAGCCATGCCTCATCAGTGAATTGTGGAATAGCTTTATCTTTACTTTGCATAAAAGTTCCAATTTCTTTCCGCAAATCAAACACTCGTTTTAACATTTCTCCTCTGCTGAGCCAACGAACATCACAGAAATACGTTATGTCACCATATTTCTTCTAAGAATTCCTGAAATTGCCTGTGGTTAAGGCCCCGAGATTTGATGAAGTTAACAGCTGTTATCACAACACTCATAACTTCTTGAATACTAACAGACTTCGCACTTAGATTTTCTTGATGAATAATACAGTAGTACTTTATGAAGGAGATATCGGAAAATATTTTTCTTTATTAAAGCAACAATCCTTCGTTTTTGCCTACCATAGACCTGTTCGCGCTTCGCTCGCAACCGCATGAACTGTGGCAACGTCAAGTCGACTCTCCAAGTCGCCACTAGATAGCTCAGGCAGTTTAAATTATTTATTTTATGTTTAGTGCTTTATACATACATACATACATACATAACTTCACGCCTGTTTCCCATGGGGGTAGGCAGAAAATAAGGACTATACATTATACCTACTATTCAGTTTTTTGTATATTTTTAATATGCATAATGTAGAATTTGTACATTTTTACACATGGACCATATTTTCTTAAAATTAATACGAAAATGAATAATACAAACATATTTATTGAAACACAAATTTATTAAAAAATTACAAATTATCTACAGAAAAATACTTTCTACGGTTTTGACTGTTACGAAACGCCTTGTTATTAAACTTTAATGTGTAATATATCCGCATGTTAATAAATAAATTTTGCAAATATAATTTCGGAAAGCATGGGCTGGGCAGGGCAGTGAAAATTGTAAATCTTTTATTTGTTTTTAAATAGACATGCCAATGTTGCAGAGTATGTGATCATTTTTAAATTCTTTTTGAAATATCTGCTCCATCCTCTTAATATTTTCTACAAAGTCTTGTAGTGAAGGTACCTAGACTCTGCACTTAAATTGCAAACTTGCTGATTCGAGTTTAAACACAATTTAAGTTGTTCCCAATCCTCGTGACGATCAATGCATTTATTCAACAAGGCTCCGCATACGTAAAAAAAGTATTTTTTCCGGGAATATCAAATTCTATATAGTCTGAACAACTAACATCACGCAATACACTATTTGATTGCAATATCTCTGATTGGTTAATATTGATAACGGGAGGAACGTTATTGATTTCAGTACTTTCATTATCCGTATTTTTGTAATTACTTAAATGAACGAGGGATTCTGTCAAATCTTCCGTACAATTGCATTCTTTCAGAGCCTGGGTAGTATTGGCAAAGAAAATTTTGCGATATTTTACTTCTATTTTTTCGATCTAATTTTACCAAAAAAATTCTCAATCACATCCTGATTAAGACGTCTTGTCAGAATGTATTGATATCCTTCTTGCTAAGATCTTCTTAAAGATATAAAATTGACTTGATTGTGATCTGAAACCCTTGAATAAATTTAACGTTATGAGTAGCGTCGTTACCTGTTCGGGGATCTCGTAATTTTAATGTTTGGAAAAAAGTCGACATTTTATTTAAAAAAATCAATCTGTTCTTTACGCCCGTAAAACGCTCTGTACTTATAGCTGTCACGAAGACTCGATGAATTCAATGCGTCAAATAGATCGTTCATCAACATTATTAATTCGACTGTGTGCCTTGCTGATTCATCTATCACATTAAAATCTATGTATGTTGACAAACCCGCTGCTACAGATCTGCTTAAAAGTTGCGTCGCGTAACGAACTTTTATTTTTTTAAAGTTCATAGGGTACATATGGCTGTTAGTCCATTTATGAGAAGAAAAGCTTTAGATAACTAAAGCTTTTCTTCTTATCATGCTCATAGAATTTTTTTATGTGACCAAATGTTGCTACAACGCCAATTTGAAAATGAAAATCCTACGCCATCAAGTTCGTACGAACCAACTATTTTAAATGTGGTGCGTCAAATATATAATAAATTTTATGACCATTAACAGTAAAGTAAGTTTTGTTTACGCTATCCCTCTTTCTTTAGCAACTTTTATCAAACCTGGTCCCATATCTGATACGCACTCTGATTTTTAATCCTATCTCAAAGAGTTTAAATAAAAGTTTATCAATCCATATAGATATATTAGCATCGCTTGAATATTCCGATAATAACGCGTAGCCAATTAGGTGGCTCCATTTCACAAAAATACATCTCATTATTAGTACTAAGGCATATTTTGGTAGTATTGGCGATTGAACGCCATCTACTTCGTGAAAGCCTATTATTTTATCATTTTTATATCGTAAAAGACGTTCGTTTTTAAACTCATAGCGTCCGTCTACACCAGGGTAGAAGCCTTTAAAAATAATAAAATGTGAAAAGAAATTATAATAGGATGAAACCCATTAAAAAGGAGGGAAATATGATAAAAATGAAAGGAAAAATAATTTACAGGCGATCTGAGGTCGGGAAGGGGATGGGGGTGAGTTTTTAAGGGTAAAAAACGGTTTGTTTTCATTCCTTTGCATTTCCTTAGTTAATTCCTCAAAA